TAGATTATGGATCAGTGTTGACTCGTCACTGCTGCACCGAAGGCTTGTGCTCCATCCCACTGATGTCTGCCGCTGTGTCCTCAGGCAAGACACTTAACCACTTTACCTAAAGGTGAGGACCAGGAGGAGCAGGAGGATCAGGGGGAGCATTGAGGATCAGGAGGAGCAGTGAGGAGCAGGAGGAGCAGTGAGGATCAGGAGGAGCAGTGAGGACCAGGAGGAGCAGTGAGGACCAGGAGGAGCAGTTAGGATCAGGAGGAGCAGTGAGGATCAGGAGGAACAGTGAGGACCAGGAGGAGCAGTTAGGATCAGGAGGAGTAGTGAGGATCAGGAGGAACAGTGAGGACCAGGAGGAGCAGTGAGGACCAGGAGGAGCAGTTAGGATCAGGAGGAGCAGTGAGGATCAGGAGGAGCAGTGAGGAGCAGGAGGAGCAGTGAGGGGTTGATGCTGTGACGACTGTGTGAAGTTTCCATTCATAAAATGTAAAATCTTTTTTAAAGTGAATCTTTACTTTCCTGAAACATCTACCATGGGGGTACCAGGGGGGGACAGGTCAGAGGGGCTGTGGGGGGGGGGGGACAGTATAAACCAGGATTACAAACTGTCACCATCTGCTGTTCAACTGTGACACGCTCCAGAGAGACTGGAGAGAGACCAGAGAGAGACCAGAGAGGAGAGACACCAGAGAGAGACCAGAGAGAGACCAGAGAGAGACCAGAGAGGAGAGACACCAGAGAGAGACCAGAGAGAGACCAGAGAGAGACCAGAGAAGAGAGACACCAGAGAGAGACCAGAGAGAGACCAGAGAGAGACCAGAGAAGAGAGACACCAGAGAGAGACCAGAGAGAGAGACCAGAGAGAGACCAGAGAGAGACCAGAGAAAGAGACCAGAGGGAGACCAGAGAGAGACCAGAGGGAGACCAGAGAGAGACCAGAGGGACACCAGAGAGAGAGAGACCGGAGGGAGACCAGAGAGAGAGACCAGAGAGACCAGAGAGAGACCCCCCCCCCCCCCCGGTGCAGCTCGGGTGCTGTGCTGGTCTACAGGTGCAGACTGATGTGTGATTAGGACCATAAATGGCGCGGGGCAGTGTAGGGTTTCCTGGTCCGTGGTGCTCTGACCTCACGGTGTTGTTAGGCTGATACCAGAGTCACATGAAACATTCAGACCCAAAGGTCCCTGTCACGGTGTCATTGTCTCACAGCAAAGGCCCCTGTAACACGGCCCCCGGACCCCCCACGGGGCCTCCTCTGGGCAGGATACAGTGAAGCAGGCAGAGGAGCTGCGGGAGGGCATCGGGGCAGGAGGTCTGAGGAGGTGCAAGGACCTGTGGAAACCAACCTCTGACTTTAGTTTATGAAATAGACACAGGTTCAGGGTCGAGTCCCAGGTATTACACCAGGAGAGAGGAGGGGAGAGGAGAGAGAGAGGAGGAGAGAGGAGGAGAGGAGAGAGAGAGGAGGAGAGAGGAGGAGAGAGAGGAGGAGAGAGGAGGAGAGGAGAGAGAGGAGGAGAGGAGAGAGAGGATAGAGAGAGGAGGAGAGGAGAGAGAGAGAGGAGGAGAGAGGAGGAGAGGATAGAGAGAGGAGGAGAGGAGAGAGAGAGAGGAGGGGAGAGGAGAGAGAGAGAGAGGAGAGAGAGAGAGAGGAGAGAGAGAGGGAGGGAGAGGAGAGAGAGAGAGGAGGAGAGAGAGAGGAGGAGAGAGAGGAGAGAGGAGGAGAGAGAGAGAGAGAGAGAGGAGAGGAGAGAGAGAGGAGGAGAGAGGAGGAGAGGAGAGAGAGAGGAGGAGAGGAGAGAGAGGATAGAGAGAGGAGGAGAGGAGAGAGAGAGAGGAGGAGAGAGGAGGAGAGGAGAGAGAGAAAGGAGGAGAGGAGAGAGAGAGGAGGAGAGAGAGAGAGAGAGAGGAGAGAGAGGAGGAGAGAGGAGGAGAGGATAGAGAGAGGAGGAGAGGAGAGAGAGAGGAGGAGAGAGGAGAGAGAGAGAGAGAGAGAGAGGAGGAGAGAGGAGAGAGAGGAGGAGAGGAGAGAGAGAGGAGGAGAGAGGAGAGAGAGAGGAGAGAGAGAGGAGGAGAGAGGAGGAGAGAGGAGGAGAGATGAGAGAGAGAGGAGAGATGAGGAGAGAGAGGAGAAATGAGGAGAGAGGAGGCGGCGTGTGGCAGTTGGAGAAACATCTGTGATGAAACAGTGAAACAAAAGCAGGATTAAATTGTTCGTTTTTGAGTCTCATCCTTTCATCTGCTTCTCTTCGTTCTGTCGTGGGTTGTATTTACTCCAAGTGTCCAAAGTGTGTTGCCCAAGGGCACAGCAGCTGGATTCACACAGGTCTGTGGTTCACCTTCTGCTTTAACAACACATGTTTTTAATGATCTGAGCTTTTCTATGTCACAGGCTGCAATACCACCCCGGGCCTGTGGGGGTGTACCCAGAAACAGAATCACCCAATGCTTTGTATGGCGTCTTTTTTCCTCTGGAAAACGTCTTTACAGGACGGTGTTACTCCCGGATTCGTCCCGGAAACAGGGCTCGTCCAGAAGTTCAGTTAATAAGTCCTTAATTGGTGACTGGTTAAGTTTTAGGCGTCTAAGTAAGATGGTTAAGGTTAGGGTTAAGGTGGTCTGAGTAAGATGGTTAAGGTTAGGGTTAAGGTGGTCTGAGTAAGATGGTTAAGTTTAGGGTTAAGGTGGGTTGGGGATATTTTATGGAAATGGTTAAGTTTAGGCAGGAATAGGTAGTTTGTTTTATTTACTTCTGCTTCCGTCCAGATTCCGTGACGTAATCTACTGCTGCGTTTGATCAATGGATCAAACTGAACTTCCGGACGAATCCGGTTTCCGGAACAAATCCGGGAGTGACAGACGGTCCAAAAGTGTTTTTCCACATTTTCCCAGTGGCCATTTTGAAAAATCCACAGAATGCAAAAGTGATGTCACATCAATTTGTGGTGAGGACCGTAGTGAGTCTGTGGTGAGTGGACCGTAGTGAGTCTGTGGTGAGTGGACCGTAGTGAGTCTGTGGTGAGGACCATGGTGAGTCTGTGGACCACCACCCAAACCATGAAGCATGTGTGACATCACCTTTAGCTTCATGCAGGAGGCAGCTTTGAACATTAGATAGCTGGAGCCAATTTCCTCACATGCACGACGGCCTTAGCTTAGCCGTGTGGCTAAGACCAAGAATGAAGGCCTGTGATTGGTCAGATCTGAATTTACAAACACCTGTACCTGTGCTCAGAGCAGATGTAGTTTTCCAGACTTTGGTAAAGATTTCAGAGAAGAATGTAAGTTACGACAGATTCATGCAGATACAACCTGGAACAGTCTTCCTGAAAATGTGAGACTTCTTCTCCGACTTTGTATGGCACAGTTCACACACAAATAAACTTGCCTCATAGTCATCATTCAGACGCACATATTAAATACATGTTTCCAAACTGAGGCCAGTGTCATCCATCCAACTTCAGCATCATTACACCTAAACTTAATAGAATAGAAATGACCGGACTGGACTAGACTCTGCACCTGAACCAAGACCTCCCATTAGAGCTGAAGAACTGACTAAATATTAATATAATTAATAAATATATTAGATATATTAAATCATAATCAGGCCCAACAATAGAAAATAGAAACTAAAATGAAAGTGAAACATTATTTTCTGCTTGTTTAAAAATCCACAAAGTTTAAACTAAATATGTTTTATGACATGTACTGCTATTTTAGAATTATACATTTGTTTTGTTTGTGCTGGACACTGCTCCCACAGTAAAGTATGTGTTCCATAAGTTTAGACACCCTCCGCTGACCTAACGTCTTCAGGACTCGTCACAAATGATTAAAACAGAAAAAGGTGAAATTAAACATTAACTGAGATTAAAAACAAACAGTTTAGAGAAAAATACACTTTGGTCCAAAATTACGTCAGAGTTTCAGTCTGAGGTTTGATGGTCCCTGCTGCTGGTCCCTGCTGCTGGTCCCTGCTGCTGGTCCCTGCTGCTGGTCCCTGCTGCTGGTCCCTGCTGCCCTCTGCTGGACAAAAAACTGTCACAGATCCCAGTGTGTGAACCGGACACAGATGAATAAACACAGAAAGTCTCTCCAACAAACATTTTAAATCCTTGAAAGCTTTTGTGTGACATCACAGGCTGAGAAAAACACTTCCTGTCCTACGGCCCCATGCCACGCCCCCTTTTGGTCACGCGGTTGCAACCCAGCAATTTACAATCTCAGCAGATTCTGGTTTAACTAAACCTTTCAGACTAAAAAGTTTGCTCAAACAGAAAAAGACAAAAACAGGGATTAAGTTGTCAAACTGAGAGATCAAAGAATCATAAAGTCGTTAGAGCGGCCTGAGAGCAGACGTCACAAATCCATCTGCCATAAAACATGAGTCAAATAAGATCAAAGAGTTGATTGTGATCGAAACATTCAGTATAAAAAACAGCTTCAATCAAAATGACATTAATCTTTATTGGACTTTAACAACTTTGGCCAAAGACAGAAGCAGCAGGAACGAGAGCAAAGAGAAACGACCAGACTCTGTTCATAAATGCTTCTACATCAGGGACTCGACCCCATGTGGGAAGGAGTTAGTATTTACTGTGGGGTGTGTGTGTGAGGTTATGTGATTATATATATTTGTATGCGTGTTTCGTGTGTATAAACGTGTGTATTAACATGTATAAACGTGTGTATATGGCAACCCTGAACACACAGGTCCTCTGTGTGAAGGTGGTTGCTGGTTCTACTCCTGGTCCTCTGTGTGTAGATGGTTGCTGGTTCTACTCCTGGTCCTCTGTGTGGAGGTGGTTGCTGGTCCTGCTCCTGGTCCTCTGTGTGGAGGTGGTTGCTGGTTCTACTCCTGGTCCTCTGTGTGGAGGTGGTTGCTGGTTCTACTCCTGGTCCTCTGTGTGGAGGTGGTTGCTGGTCCTGCTCCTGGTCCTCTGTGTGGAGGTGGTTGCTGGTTCTACTCCTGGTCCTCTGTGTGTAGATGGTTGCTGGTCCTATTCCTGGTGCACACTGGTCTTCAGGGGCCACAGCAGCAGGACACAGAACACAGCTGCGTTGAATAGACACTGGGTCAGCCCCAGGGCCCTCAGGCCCCCGCCCAGGTACAGGACCCCCCCCAGAGTGGGCCCCACGGTCCTCAGCAGCGACTGCACCGTGGCACACAGGCCAAGCATGGTCCCTGTGACACACACACACACACACACACCACTGTCAGACTGTACAACGAGGAAGCTCCCGACACCCACAAGGTTTACTGTGATTGGTTCTCACCTGTGTCGGAGGCTGTGATTGGCCCTCACCTGTGTCGGAGGCTGTGATTGGCCCTCACCTGTGTCGGAGGCTGTGATTGGCCCTCACCTGTGTCGGAGGCTGTGATTGGCCCTCACCTGTGTCGGAGGCTGTGATTGGCCCTCACCTGTGTCGGAGGCTGTGATTGGCCGTCACCTGTGTCGGAGGCTGTGATTGGCCCTCACCTGTGTCGGAGGCTGTGATTGGCCCTCACCGGTGTCGGAGGATGTGATTGGCCCTCACCTGTGTCGGAGGCTGTGATTGGCTCTCACTTGTGTCGGAGGATGTGATTGGCCCTCACCTGTGTCGGAGGCTGTGATTGGCCCTCACCTGTGTCGGAGGCTGTGATTGGCCCTCACCTGTGTCGGAGGATGTGATTGGCCCTCACCTGTGTCGGAGGTTGTGATTGGCCCTCACCTGTGTCGGAGGCTGTGATTGGCTCTCACCTGTGTCGGACGCTGTGATTGGCCCTCACCTGTGTCGGAGGCTGTGATTGGCCCTCACCTGTGTCGGAGGATGTGATTGGCCCTCACCTGTGTCGGAGGTTGTGATTGGCCCTCACCTGTGTCGGAGGCTGTGATTGGCCCTCACCTGTGTCGGAGGCTGTGATTGGCCCTCACCTGTGTCGGAGGCTGTGATTGGCCCTCACCTGTGTCGGAGGATGTGATTGGCCCTCACCTGTGTCGGAGGTTGTGATTGGCCCTCACCTGTGTCGGAGGCTGTGATTGGCTCTCACCTGTGTCGGACGCTGTGATTGGCTCTCACCTGTGTCGGACGCTGTGATTGGCTCTCACCTGTGTCGGAGGCTGTGATTGGCCCTCACCTGTGTCGGAGGCTGTGATTGGCTCTCACCTGTGTCGGACGCTGTGATTGGCTCTCACCTGTGTCGGACGCTGTGATTGGCTCTCACCTGTGTCGGAGGCGGGCACACTCTTGGTGAGGATACTGTCTGTGACCACGTTGAAGAGGTTCATGGAGAACACCATGGGGACCATCGTCAAACAGAACTGCACCACGGACCTCATGTACGCCTGTGGAACACAGCCGCAGAATCAAAACCTTCAGGGTTACAGTTCTGGATCAGAACCTTCAGGGTTACAGTTCTGGATCAGAACCTAAGGGTCACAGTTCTGGATCAGAACCTTCAGGGTTACAGTTCTGGATCAGAACCTTCAGGGTTACAGTTCTGGATCAGAACCTTCAGGGTCACAGTTCTGGATCAGAACCTTCAGGGTCACAGTTCTGGATCAGAACCTTCAGGGTCACAGTTCAGGTTCTGACAAACACTAAAGCCTGTGTTCCTGATGAAGCCTCTGAGCTACAATAGGTCCCAGTCGGTCTGTCATACAAATTTGGGGATTTGGGGTCTGAAAACGAGCGGGACCAGAGAGAGACCAGACCAAAGAGAGAGAGACCAGAGACAGAGACCAGAGAGAGAGCGACCAGAGAGAGAGACATTTCTAAGTCTGTGATCATTTCCATTAAATCCCTTCACAAAGTCTGGCCTTGATCACAATGCATCACAGTGCCACTAAGAGGCCAGGCAAAGAATCACAGTGTGTCACAGCAGCTGTGCTTCATACACAGGTGTCACAGCAGCTGTGCTTCATACACAGGTGTCACAGCAGCTGTGCTTCATACACAGGTGTCACAGTAGCTGTGCTTCATACACAGGTGTCTCACCTGGCCCAGCCCCACAGCTGCAGCAGCCATGACAGCCAACAGCAGGAGGGAGGAGTCTTCACAGCGCTCAGTGAGTCGACCAATCACAGCGCCCTGGATCAGCTGCAGAGAAACAGTGTAACAGGTTTAGACATGACCACACTCACTGAGATCAACGGGTATACTCTCCCCCTCTCTCGGACTCAGGCCTCGACAACCCCCCCCCCCAGCTCTGAATGTGAGGTCCCTGCTCTCCCCCTGGGCCTCAACCCCCCAGCTATGAATGTGAGGTCCCTGCTCTCCCCCTGGGCCTCGACCCCCCCAGCTCTGGGGTCATCAAAGTTCTCTTACAATTTGTGAAAACCCGAAGAAGGTCATTAGGTGAGAGTTCTGCTGCGGGTCCAGTTTGAAGTCCTCCAGAGCCACCACCGAGAACATGGACTGGAAGATCCCTGAGGACATGAGGGAGAGGGTGAGGGAGGGAGAGGGAGTATGAGAGGGAGTAAATCAGCAACTTTGTGTTTCAACTGTCTACCTGTGGTTGTGGTGTGGTGTGGTTGTGTTGTGGTTTTCTTGTGGTTGTGTTTCAGTCCTGACCTGAGGGGAGTCCTGCCAACACCTTCATGGAGAAAGTAGCGGCGACACCAGGAAACTGAAGCAACCGAGTGATCTCTCCCAAACTGAACAGAGACTTCTTCACTGCACACAGAGCCAGAGAGAGAGAGCCAGAGAGCCAGAGAGAGTGAGAGTGAGAGTGAGAGTGAGAGTGAGAGTGAGAGTGAGAGTGAGAGTGAGAGTGAGAGTGAGAGTGAGAGTGAGAGTGAGAGAGAGAGAGAGAGAGAGAGAGAGATCAGACCCATGGTCAGTTTTAAACAGTTCTTTAGACTCTCAAAGTCTCTTCACATCATTATTCTTTCTCTCCAAACACAGTGGTGATGAACTACTACTGTAGCCACAGCTGCCCTGGGGCACAATGACAGAAGCGAGGCAACCAGTGTGTGCCATCAGCTCCTCCGACCACCACCAACCGTTCACACACACACCAGACTCATTCTAATGTGGGGGAAGTGTCTTGCCTAAGGACACAACCACAGCCCTACTGTGGCACCTGCTGTTCCCAGAGGTCTCCCATCACAGTACTAACCAGGCCCTGCCCTGTTTAGCTTCAGAGGTCTGAGGGTCTGGCTTTCACCTGCAGGTGGCGCCACACAGTCTCCCTCTCTCGGTGGTCTCCCTCTCTCGGTGGTCTCCCTCTCTCGGTGGTCTCCCTCTCTCGGTGGTCTCCCTCTCTCGGTCTCCTCCCTCTCTCGGTCTCCTCCCTCTCTCGGTCTCCTCCCTCTCTCGGTCTCCTCCCTCTCTCGGTCTCCTCCCTCTCTCGGTCTCCTCCCTCTCTCGGTCTCACCTGGTGTGACTGTAGCCGTTGCAGATTTGGTGTTTTTGGGGATGAACTTTAGGACCAGGAGGAGATTGCACAGACTCCCTGCAGCTCCCACACAGGCTGTCAGCCTCTCCCTGTGACCAGGACCAGAGTGAGACCAGAGGGAGACCAGAGAGAGACCAGAGAGAGACCAGAGGGGAGAGACCAGAGGAGAGAGACCAGAGGAGAGAGACCAGAGGAGAGAGACCAGAGGAGAGATTCAGATTCAGATTCAGATTCATTTATTTGCCATTTGCAGTAAAACCACATTGGAAAAACTGTGCAAGACTACCCCGGTGTGCGCCAGACAGAGACGACACACACCAGAGCTCTTGCCACGGCGCCATCTTTCCGGCGCCATGCGACAAACAGTAGAATAAACAGCAGAGAGCAATAACATTCAGGTTACAACAGACAGTTGGATAGAAAACATTGTGCTTTGTATAAACCACGGATTTTTTTTCGGGATGAACCAGAGAGAGAGAACCAGAGAGAGACATTCGGGAGAGACCAGAGAGAGAGAACAGAGGAGCAGAGAGGGAGCAGAGAGAGACCAGAGAGACCAGAGAGAGACCAGAGGAGCAGAGAGAGACCAGAGAGAGACCAGAGAGACCAGAGAGAGACCAGAGGAAGACCAGAGGAGAGAGACCAGAGGAGCAGAGAGAGACCAGAGAGAGACCAGAGAGAGACCAGAGAGAGACCAGAGAGAGACCAGAGAGAGACCAGAGAGAGACCAGAGGAGAGAGACCAGAGGAGCAGAGAGAGACCAGAGAGAGACCAGAGAGAGACCAGAGAGAGACCAGAGAGAGACCAGAGAGAGCCCAAAGGACCAGAGATGGTAAGCTTTTGTCATAAGATTTTTACTAGTTTTAAGTAAATTCTTTTCTCTGAGATGAAGGAGTTTATTTTAAGTATTCTAAGAAAACATTTCTCAAAAATGTTTAAGAAATAAGTAAATTATTATTAAATTAATGTTTTTGAACTGAAATCAAGCCGTTTGGAAAGATGAGGGAGGTGTGCCTGGGTAAAGATGAGGGAGGTGTGCCTGGGTAAAGGTGAGGGAGGTGTGTTGCCCACTGACCCGTACAACATGACCAGGTGCCCCCCCATCATGGAGCCGAGGATCATACCGACACCGAAGCACACCCCCAGTTTGGAAAGAGCCCCCCCCCTGAGGGCCGGCTCTGAGAGGTCGGTGAGGACCATCTGAGACACTACAAACACATGTTACAAAACAGCACTACATGAGAACATCCGAGGGGCCTGGAGGCTGTGGTCCGGGGCCTGGAGGTCCCGGCCCTCGCTGTGGTCCGTACCCGGCACGACGTGCATGAAGAGCGTGGGCAGTTTGTGAAGGAAGAGCATGGCCGGGTTCTGAGCCGAGGCCAGCAGCAGGAAGAACACCACTGTGGCTCCAGTGGCCACAGACAGAGCCGCCCGGGCCCCAAACAGGTCTCCAAACCTGGGGACAGAGCGAGAGAGTAGGGGAGAAGACAGCCACAGGGAGGGAAGAAGCTGGAACATTACAGAGAGAGAGCAGCTGCAGTGACAGACTTATCATTTATACTTTACTACTAAGTCCATAACAACAATTAGAAACATGGAGTGAATATTCAGGTCACATTTGTTATTGTTCACATGGTTTCATTTGGAGCAACTGTAAACATGACAGAGTGAGAGAGAGAGTGAGAGAGAAAGAGTGAGAGAGCGAGTGACTGAGGGAGAGTGAGAGAAAGTCAGTGAGAAAGAGTGAAAGAGAGATTGAGTGTGAGACAAAGAGTGAGAGTGACTGCGTGAGAGAAAGTGAGAGTGAGCAGGCGAGAGCGAGAGAGTGAGAGATTGAGTGAGTGTGAGAAAGAGTGATAGTGTAAGAGTGAGTGACTGAGGGAGACAGTGAGAGTGACTGAGTGAGAGAGAGCGAGGGACTGAGTGAGAGAGAGAGAGTACCTCCCAAACAGAGGGTTCCCGATAAGCTGCAGCAGCCCCACCACAGTCTGCAGATACCCGAGCCACAGAGTGTCCATGCCCAGCCTCCTCGCCAAGAACTGACCACAACAACAGGCAGTCACTTTGACTGCTGTGTGTCACTTTGACTGCTGCTGTGTGTCACTTTGACTGCTGCTGTGTGTCACTTTGACTGCTGCTGTGTGTCACTTTGACTGCTGCTGTGTGTCACTTTGACTGCTGCTGTGTGTCACTTTGACTGCTGCTGTGTGTCACTTTGACTGCTGTGTGTCACTTTGACTGCTGTGTGTCACTTTGACTGCTGTGTGTCACTTTGACTGCTGTAACGGTGCACCTGTAGGGAAACTGATGCTCTGCATTTGACCCTGATGCTGTAAGGCTGACGTCAGGAGCAGTGGTCGCCGTAGCAACAGAACCATCTGCAGATGTAGATGTGTGTGTGTTCATGTTAGAACTGTGTGTGTCACAGACGTGTGTGTCACAGACGTGTGTGTCACAGACTTGTGTGTCACAGACTTGTGTGTCACAGACTTGTGTGTCACAGACTTGTGTGTCACAGACTTGTGTGTCACAGACGTGTGTGTCACAGACGTGTGTGTCACAGACTTGTGTGTCACGTGTTGCACCTTCATGCTTCATCTGATTAGAAACCATGTGACCATGGCTCTGAAAGCTGATTGGCTGAGAGGGCGGTCCTTTTCTGTCTAAAATTGATGTAAAGATAAGACAGAGGCCAATGTTTCTTCGCAGGATTAACTTTGTGTAGAACTTTTAGAACTTCTGTGACACGTGGCTCACATGAAACCGCTGCTGCCTTCACGGTCACTTCGTAAATCCTGCTTTTACTCTTTTACTCACGGGAGTCACGGAGAACTGCAGGAACATCCATGTGACGTCTAACGTGGTTATGACGTAAGTGACGAGGATCACTCTCTTCAGTTTGGCCCGATCCAGGTCCGGGACCGCGCGGTCATGGGCCATGTCCGGACCGGAGAGAGGAGCCTCCTCCACGGGGAGCAGAGGAGAGAGGAGCCTCCACCAGGAGCAGAGAAGAGCGGAGAGGAGCAGAGGAGTCAGAACATGGACCTGTTGACAGCGGAGTCCTCGGTTTCCTCCCGTGAGACTTTGGACCGAGGGGCGGGGCCAGATGCAGCAGAACCAGAGCAAAAGCAACGAGCGAAAAGACCTGAGTTTTCAATCAGAGAGATGTGTGCGTGTGCGTGAGTGTGCGTGTGCGTGTGCGCGTCGACAGGGACTGTATGGAGAAGCACTGACACTGAGACGCCTTCAGGAGCGCGCAGGAGAGGAGGACCTTTTACATCAGCGTTGTCCAAACTGTGACCCGCGGGCTGATTGCGGCCCTTTGGGGACTAATCTTTGAGATCATAAACAAACTAAGCTCAGTTATGTTTCTGTAAGATGTATGTGTTTCTGTAAGATCCAGTCTCCTGAGGGCTGCATCTGGGTTGGATCCAATTTTCATTCCTCAGGTTTAATTTGTTACACATAAAATAATATATTGATATTAAAAATTAATAATAGCAGCGAGGAACGCGACTGCGGCTCCAAAGCAGCTCAGGAGAATATTACATTTGAAATGTTTAAGAGGATAATTATTCTGTAGTTTGAAGTAGACTTCTTTAGCTTTGGATGAATCCAGATGTTTTTATAGATCAAGATGCTATTATAGATCCATGGTATTATAGATCCATGGTATTATTATGTGAGGTGTAATATTAGTAGCATTAGAAGCAGCTAAAACTATATACATTGAATGACCAGAAGAGGGCAGCAGACTTAGACTAAAGAGGAGTAAATGTTGGAACATGCTTATTACAAATATAAAATATTAAAAATACATTAAATGAAACCTACGCATGAACATGTGATTGCACTGGAATATAAGGACCTTTATACTTTTATGGATAAAAAACGCAGCTATAACAACAAAATGATTCATTGTAAATGTGTAGGTCCAGAATAGTTTCCTTATTGGTGATTTGTACCAACACTGCAAAATATTATAGTTATTATTATTATTATTGAATTATTATTATTCAATATTAAAGTACATGTATAACACCTGATTATCCATTAGAATAAAGCAGACCTCTACAGTGGATGGGACATGATTGAATGTACTTGCAATTAAATATCTAATTATTGTTTACATTTTGTTTGGATGTAGTCTTTATAAAGCAGAGGAGCGTTCATTGGAAAACTCGTTCTGGGTCAGACCAGTTAGACCCAAACCATCCCAGCACTATCTTTTATTTTTGCTTTACTAACGTTTCCTTTTGTCCTCAGAGTTCTCTAATGTGTTGTTTTTCATACGGAAGACTAGTTTAATATTTACAGTCTATGGTTTCTACGTTTTATGGTCTTTGGGTTTTGTCATATTTTATTGTGAAAATACATGTAGTACTTACCACATCCTCTCTGCTTCTCCACATTATTGTCTGAGGGGTCCTTCCTAATAATGACCCGGTAACCCGGAAATAAAGCTTATTTACCTGTCGTTTGCATGGATCTAGTTGACTCTATTATTGTAACATTTATCATTTAACGTGACGTTACCTCTTGGTTACATTCACATTATTATGGAAGTCCGGTGTTGTGTCTCTTCCGGGTCTACACAGTTTTCCCAACACAATCTCCCTACCCTCTGTTCCTACATATGTGGATATTGACTACTCTCAAAACAGTTATGGATATTATTTACATATGAAACAAAGTTTATACGAGCATCAGTTGGTGTTTGTAAAGAGTGGCTTTTGGAACCGCTTGAAGATGGGACTTGTGTAGGAGAAAAAGTGTGAATCTCCAGTGGGCGGTGTCAGACCGAGAAGAGGAAGTCTCTTTATTTTGGATTATTCTCATTATTCCTCACCGTGTGATGCTCTGACCCTCCGGCGGCCGACTGATGGAGGTCCTCACCCCGCATGTGTACTGGGCCCAGCGCCGGGCAGAGATCTTCCTCCGGGTGGACCTCTGCGACGCTACGGTACCAGCTCCACTCGAGGGCAGCGGCAGTTATAGCGGTAGGACAGCGGCAAGAGAGCGGTACGACAGCGGCAGGAGAGCGGCAGGACAGCGGCAGGAGAGCCGCAGGACAGCGGCAGGAGAGCGGCGGGACAGCGGCAGGAGAGCGGCAGGACAGCGGCAGGAGAGCGGCGGGACAGCGGCAGGAGAGCGGCAGGACAGCGGCAGGATAGCGGCAGGACAGGGGGACGAGAGCTGCAGAATAGCGGCAGCGGGGTGGAAACAGGGCATTAGGACTCGTTATTAACCCTAACACAGGATTAATAACGAGTCAACAAGGGCTGCAACGGTTAGTCGATAACATTGTACATCGTAATCAAATGTAATTTGACAAAAATGTGAATACGACATTATTTACGTACAAAATTCACATTCATGTGAATAAAACTGTCAGTGTGTTTTATGATGAATTTTGGGAGAACTCCTGTGAGGAGGAGCTCGGAGTAGAGCCGCTGCTTCTCCACGTGGAGAGGAGCCAGTAAGTGGCTCATCTGTTTGAGATGTGTCCCATGCCACAGTGGAGGTGGGACAAGGAGGAGACCCAGGACACAGAGGGACTCTCTCTGGCCTGGATCCCCTTGGGGTCCCCCAGGATGAGCTGGAGGGAGGGGTCTCAGACTGCGCCCCCACGACTCCGGCCAAAGTGAAGAAAATTTCTTCATGACTTTATTATTTGTTTAGCACATACTGTCTTGTCTGTGCGCTGCAACACTGAAATGTCCCCAGTGTAGAACGAATAAAGGATCTTATCTTTAAAAGGCTAAATGCCCTTGCCCCGAGAGCATTAACAGAGACTGTGAGACATTTTCACCTCTGAAGGTGGAAAAAGATTCTAATGTTTTGCCTCATCGTTCAAAGAATAAATGTTCTAAAATAATGGTTTGCTGCGTCCTGAGCTAAATGTAGCCCAGAGAGTGATGACGATCAGACTCTGCTTTGGTACAATCAGAATAAAGAAGATTTAATGTTTAAGGCAGAAAGTCCAAAAATACAGCTTCAGAGCCGGGAACAAAGGAAGACATTGGATCTCCTGGTCCAGGAGGAGGTGTCACTCTGACTGGACCATAGGCTCCTGTGCGTCCATCTGTCCAGACCTGCAACAACACACAGTTCAACATATGTTTCATATGTTTGTTTAAATATTTCACTCAAACTTAAAAATCCCCAGATCCTGTTTAAGGGCAAACCTTCAAAGATTGTTTATTTTGTCCTTTAGGAGACTGGTCTGCAGCGTTTGATTATACAGAATTAATATAGAACACTCTTTCACACAAAGACACCAACACCTGTAATAACATTTTATTACCTTTATTACATTAAAGCAACATTTGCATATGATCCAGTCCCTGTGAGCTCCGGTCTGTATCACAGGGATTTGCATAGACTTTACAGAACAACAGAACATTCACCTGCGACAGGTGTTTTCTCTGGAACCAGGAGCTGTGCATTTTTAATGAGGAGCATTTTTAATGAGGAGCATTTTTAAAGAGGAGCATTTTTAAAGAGGAGCAGGTTTAAAGAGGAGCAGGTACAGTCCTCTGAATTACAGTCACATGATGTAACTACTGCATTTCTTTAAAGCATTAATTTAAAGTCTACAGTATACTACAATATTCTACAGTATACTACAGTATTCTACAGTATACCACAGTATTCTACAGTATACTACAGTATTCTACAGTACACTACAGTATTCCACAGTATACTCCAGTGTTCTGTCTAAACTTTGTTCTTTCTACAGTTTCTGGGTTTAGTTTCCGATTGCAATCAAGAAAAACCTGTTTTAAACTAGCAGACTCCCCCTAACCCTTCTTTCTAAACGCACGTGTCTTGAACTTACAGTGCAATGAATTCTTCTCTTTGACATTAAGTGTTTACATTATTTTCGGCCATTTTTATTCAGAAATGACTCTGGTTCAATGCTGTGTTTCCAGAACGTACACATCCGTGTGGAGGACAACACGCTACATTTCAAAGGTAAAAGAACATTCTGTTTGATCTGAAGCCGCTCGAGGCGACGACTGTCACTGTAGCAGAAATATAACGATTCTGATATCCAACCACAAGAGGGAGCCACCTGTAGTTACACCTGTCAGACCTGAGAAGTGTAACTAACCCCAACCCAGACCTGTAGAGTGTGTGACTGTAAAGTGTGTGAGTGTAGAGTGTGTGACTGTAGTGTGTGTGACTGTAGTGTGTGTGAGTGTAGAGTGTGACTGTAAAGTGTGTGAGTGTAGAGTGTGTGACTGTAGTGTGTGTGACTGTAGTGTGTGTGAGTGTAGAGTGTGTGACTGTAGTGTGTGTGACTGTAGTGTGTGTGACTGTAGTGTGTGTGAGTGTAGAGTGTGTGACTGTAGTGTGTGTGACTGTAGTGTGTGTGACTGTAGTGTGTGTGACTGTAGAGTGTGACTGTAGAGTGTGTGACTGTAGTGTGTGTGACTGTAGTGTGTACCTGTAGAGTGTGTGACTGTAGAGTGTGTGAGTGTAGAGTGTGTGCCTGTAGTGTGTGTGACTGTAGTGGGTGTGAGTGTAAAGTGTGTGACTGTAGTGTGTGTGACTGTAGAGTGTGACTGTAGTGTGTGACTGTAGTGTGTGACTGTAGAGTGTGTGACTGTAGTGTGTGAGACTGTAGAGTGTGTGACTGTAGTGTGTGCCTGTAGAGTGTGTGACTGTAGAGTGTGTGACTGTAGAGTGTGTGACTGTAGAGTGTGTGACTGTAGTGTGTGTGACTGTAGAGTGTGTGACTGTAGAGTGTGTGCCTGTAGAGTGTGTGCCTGTAGTGTGCGTGCCTGTAGAGTGTGTGCCTGTAGAGTGTGACTGTAGAGTGTGTGCCTGTAGAGTGTGACTGTAGAGTGTGTGACTGTAGAGTGTGTGAGACTGTAGAGTGTGTGAGACTGTAGAGTGTGTGCCTGTAGAGTGTGACTGTAGAGTGTGTGACTGTAGAGTGTGTGACTGTAGAGTGTGTGACTGTAGAGTGTGTGCCTGTAGAGTGTGTGCCTGTAGAGTGTGACTGTAGAGTGTGTGACTGTAGAGTGTGTGACTGTAGAGTGTGTGACTGTAGTGTGTGTGCCTGTAGAGTGTGTGCCTGTAGAGTGTGTGCCTGTAGTGTGCGTGCCTGTAGAGTGTGTGCCTGTAGAGTGTGACTGTAGAGTGTGTGCCTGTAGAGTGTGACTGTAGAGTGTGTGCCTGTAGAGTGTGACTGTAGAGTGTGTGACTGTAGAGTGTGTGAGACTGTAGAGTGTGTGCCTGTAGAGTGTGACTGTAGAGTGTGTGACTGTAGAGTGTGTGACTGTAGAGTGTGTGACTGTAGAGTGTGTGACTGTAGAGTGTGTGACTGTAGAGTGTGTGCCTGTAGAGTGTGTGCCTGTAGAGTGTGACTGTAGAGTGTGTGACTGTAGAGTGTGTGACTGTAGAGTGTGTGACTGTAGAGTGTGTGCCTGTAGAGTGTGTGCCTGTAGAGTGTGACTGCTCTTGATTATCACACATGGTCCTGATCCAGGTCTGGTCTGTTGCAGCTCAGGGCCACGGAGCCAGAGGAGAAAACCAGTACGAGTTCAGCCTGGAGTTCAGAGACCTGGTCCAACCACAGGTGTGTGTGTGTGTGTGTGTCTATATATGTGTCTATGTGTGCGTGTCTGTATCAGTCTGTGTGTGTGTGTTTGTGTGTGTCCGTATCAGTCTGTGTGTGTGTGTGTGTGTGTGTCCGTATCAGTCTGTGTGCACTTGTTTTCAACTCCTGGTGGGTTCCATAACCTGAGATTCCACTCACGTCATGGGGACTGGTTTTACGTGGTGGGGCCCGAACACCGGACCCCACTGGTCCAAGCTTAATAATCAATGGGTAATGCTTTTCTAACGGTCCTTATGCAGTCTCTGTAAAAATATGGAAAGGACCCCTGGAGGTTTACTTTCCTGAAAAAAGTGTGTTATGTGTCGGAACCCTGGTGGTGGGTTGCGGGATATCAAGGAGGGGCACACTGGGGCAATTTCAGTCCAGCAGGCTGGAGCCAATCATGGAGCAGCACAACAGAGGAAATCAGGTGTCAGGCTAGAAAAAGGTGCAAGTGTGTGGTTCATTAGGCTGCAAGAAATCATGGAGGAGCACACTGAAGCGCACGCTTACAAACCACTGGTAAGTGCTGACTACAAGTCATGACTTCAAATTGTTATATAGAATGATTACAAATTATTTGTTGTTTGTGCAGCTTAGTCAAGAGTCCCTAATTGATGAAGTCGACTCAGATTCTGACGATTTAACTGTCAAGAAGAAACCTGTAAAAAAGTATGGAAAAAGAAAAATCAAAAACACTTTTCTTCAAGACTCGGAAAGTGACGAACCAAAGGCAAATAAGATTGTTATCATGCAGCTGCAAAAGAAGAAAAATGGGGGGCGAGTATACAGCAAGAGACACTTCTGCCTCTACTGTTCAATGTCCTGCCACAAAATGTCCCGTCATTTGACTAGAAAACATGGAAATGAAAGTGACGTAGCCAGAGCATTGGCTCTACCTGTGAAATCTAAAGCACGTAAACTTCAGTTTGATTTGATCAGGAATAGTGGAAACCGTGAGCACAATTTTGAGGTTTTAAAGGCCGGCATTGGAACTTTAGTCCCAGCTAAACAGCCAAATTGCCCAGTTAAATCCAGTGAGTTTTTGCACTGTATAGACTGTGGGGCATTGCTTAAGCGAAAGTCGCTGTGGAGGCATGTGGCCAGGTGCCGGCTTTCACAGAAAGATGCCCAGGCTAAACCAGGTAGAAGTAGGGTCCAGTCCCTCTGCTCCCTAGCCCAGCCTGTACCGGAGGGCATCAGCAAAAAGCTGTGGTCTTTAATTTCGGCAATGCATCAGGATGAGGTCACGGGTGTTGTGAAAGCAGAAAAGGGGATTCTGAGACTCGGAGAGCACCTGTACTTAAAACACGGGCATGATAAGACTAAGCATGATTACATTAGGCAGAAAATGAGAGAAGTCGGTAGGTTAATTAACGAAGCAAAAACCGCAGGGAAACTGAAAACAATTAAGGATTTCTTTATTCCTTCCAACTTTAACCATGTGATTGATGCAGTCAGGTCTGTGGCTGGATATGATGAGGAAACAAATCAATACAAGACTCCATCCTTGGCCCTCAAACTCGGCCATAGCCTCAGAAAGCTAGCAGATATTCTTGAATGTGACTCAAAAATGGAGCATTGTGTTGATGAACTATTTATTAAAAACCTCCAACGAAGC